ACTGATTCAAGGGGATGAAGAGGAGCACGAGGAGAGGCACTTTAAGGAGCAGAATAGCACGGCCTTGCATGCAATCCCATGGGATCAACGGGCGTTTATTCCCATTAGTGGATTTGGTACCAAAACATTTAGTATTTTTTCTGCACCGCTTTTCTGGGAGAAGTTGGACTGGACTGTCCGTGCGTCCCTCTTCACGGTTCTTCCAACGATGATTCTTACCCTGGAGCCGAAAACGGAAGGCATTTTCCCATTGCCTTCCTCCGTAGCATTTCTTGCATTCTGGATCACAATGCCAACCTTTGGTTCCGGATTACGGGAATTTATCATTGCATTGAAGGGATACGCACTGAGCCTCGCCATCCTTATGATTGTTATTTTGATTGGGCCCCGCTCAAGTTGGTTGATTCTCCTGCTGCTTTTTCTGCTCGTGCTTATGACCTCCTTCTTTGCTGAACAGGTGAAGAAAACGACTGCATACTGTCTCGCGGTTTTTCTCATGCAGTTACAGTCGAATCCTGATGGTACAGGGAGAAAGTTTGTTTGGGACTACTTCACCACACTTCTCATCGCACTCGCCTTTGGCCTTGCGGCGTTTTTCATTCCGAATATTCGCTGGTCGAGCGATCTCTCGAAGACGTATGTGTCCATCCTTGGAAATTCCCTTAGTATCTATGTACAGGGGACGTGCTCTAGCTTCTGGACACGCTCCCCATTAGAACGTGAGCTGCACATTCTTCGGCTGCGGCAGTTAAGTGCGACAGCATCGAAGGCCATTACGAAGGCCGCATCGTTTTTTGAAGAAGCGGGCTATGAGCCGCATAGTGGCTCTTTCATGTCCGCCATCAGCGTCCGACACGAGTTCCTGGTGAACATCTATCAAATTCTTAGCTCCATGGTGCAGGTGGTGGAACTCATCAACGAAAATCCGCAACGCATTGAGACCCCGTTGTGTATTTCTTTCGGAAACGCCATTGTGGAGGATCTTGCCATCATTTCCTCCGCGATGGATAGTATGATTTTAAAGATATCCGACTTTAAACATCCCGTGCAGGAGGAAGATATTCAAATGTTTAGGGAGGCACGGGAACGTTTTCAGGATCGACTTTCAGAAGTACGTCAGGATGTGATTCTTGACAATGAAATGTACGAGACAGATGAGTCTGACGTGCTAATTGGCTTCTTCATGTTTAGCGTGGATGAACTTTGTGAGGAGATCTCCAACTTTTCTACGAAAAAATCAGCAAACAGCAACTTTTTGGAATGGCTCAAGGCACCAATAAATGATTGCAAGAGTTCTTTTAATGCCTTACGCCTTCTTATCGCCACAATGATTCACGGACGCTCCTTGACCCGGCGTGCGAAGGAGGCTATTAAGCTGGCGCTTTGTATGACCGTTCCTAGTATTTTTCAGGTGTACGCACTGCACAATAGTGATACAAGTCCAGTTGCGGGTGCGTCTATTATTGCCTTTGTGTACAGTCAAACTGGGGCTCAGAGCTTCACGTATGCAGTAAATCGAGTGCTTGGAACTGTTCTAGGTTCCCTTACCGCGTTTTTGGGCGTGCAAATTGCCGACTCACGCCGTCTTATTTTGTACATAGCTGTGGCCATCCTCTCCTTTCTTGGAGCCTATATTCAGACAAGCCCTGAATACTTTGCAGCAGGCAACGCCATTTGTAACAGTGTCATCTCGGTCATCACGCAATACAGAAATCCTGCCGCTGCCATTGTGCGCATTCAGCAAAACATGTTTGCCATTCTCATTTATTTTTGTATTTCGATGGTACTGTGGCCAATGCGAGCTCGGGCAAAGGTGCAAATGGCCTTTGATGTCAGCTTGCGTTGCTTCCGTGAGGCGACATGTCGTTTGTTGCGCAATCTGGATTTGCCAGAAGACGTTTGTGAGGTGAACACAGCGGTGACGGATGTGTTGAAGGAGTGGAACAAGAAGATTGATCGTCAGGCCAATTTCTTGAATGGTGCTGTGACGGAGCCGACGCTTGTCGGGGCTGGTTTTCCAGAGATTTCTTGGAAGAAACTCATAGACGCACAGAGGAGTCTCTGGTCCATAATGTCCATGATGCGTTTTGCGTACTTTACCTTCATGTCCAGCAAGGCGGACGATGTCACAGAGTTGTCTGTGCATTGGGTTGTTTTGCGGCGCATCTCACCCCATGCCAAGGATCTCTCAGACTTGGTGTACGCCACCGTTGATCTTTATTTGCTCTCGATTGGCAAGACCACTGTTGTGCCGACCAGTCACCTCACTCGGTTGCGGCATGGCATACTGGAGGCGGAGCAGAACATCTCGGAGGTGTACATTCAGACCATCTGTCGCAAACTCGGCGGCGATGTCTCCGATGAGGAGGATGAGGAGGACGACGGGAAGGGAAGTGGCATGAGCAACATGAACGTAAGCAGCAACAGCGGGTCGAGCGGCTCTGGCAAAAAGGGGCGGACATTGAGGGGTCTGGGGAAAAATGAGCCGGGGGGAGGCAAAGGGGATTTGGGTGGCACAATCCCCACGGCGCATTCGGCTGAGCCCCCACCGCAAGAGAATCAAAAGAAGAAGAAGGGCGGGTATCTCATGTACAACCTCACAAAGGAGGAGGAGGGGGAGCTGAAACGATACCTTGCGAGCCGGTCACTGGCTAACCGACAAAAGAGCGTGGTAGATGAAAACGCCGAGGATAACATCAAGAGGGACAGGAAAAACACTCTAAGAGACAGTTTTGTTAATAATCGATCTTTTCTCGGTTTGTTTAACAGAACAATACGCCCTGGGGAACGTGAATTGGAGTCGAATTTATCCGAAGAGGAGAATGAACGCCTCAAGAAGAAGGGCAAGAAGCACCGGTACGGTGAGCTGGAAGGCTCCATGATTGACTTGGATGCAGACGTCTCCACTCCCCAGCAGAAGGGTGCGGCAGGTAAAAGGCGGAGTAGGCAGGATAACAGCAATGCGGAAGAAGGGACAACAGATGGTGGCAGTCAAGTGGAGTTACGGGAGAAGAGCTTTGGGTCGCCCAAGGGCAAAAAGAAGGGTGATGACGGGGACGAGAAACTGAAGGTGCCCGTGGAATATCCAGAGGCCTCCGCCGTACTCCAGCCGAAGTTTTCAAAGGCTCAGGAGAATGGCTCCTTTTCGGCAATCGCACCAACGCAATACTCTGGTGATTGCACTTCAACAGATCCCTCGCAACATACATCGCAGTTGCTTCAAAATCTCACGTTTTTTAACAACAAGCGAAAGGAGTTTGTACTGTCTAATCAAGATATTCACAGTCTGGAGGCATTTCTCTTCGGGGTGCGTGCTCTGACGGTGCAACTGGGTGAGCTGCAGAAGGCTTTACTGGAGATGCAGCACGCGGAGGAGCTTGCAAAGAAGGTATAAATCATGTGGGATATGCATTGCTGTTTACCCAAGCCATTATTTTAAATGGCGTTTGGGTCCTTTTCTTTCTCTTTTAAATTCCTTTCAGCTGATCTCGGTGATTGTATGGCATATATGTACAGTGGCACGCTAAAAAAAAAAAAAAAGGCTGCGCATTTACCTGCGGTACTTTACACTTTTCTTAACTGATGGATGCAGACCTCCTTTTTTTTTTTGTGGGTAAACTGATGTGTACTTGTGATTATTTCTACAACGTACATGTATAATATATATGTATGTATATAAATAGGGAATGCCTTTCCTTGTGGGAGTGAAAAGAAGTGACTCTTTTGTGTCGTCACACGGTTGTCGTGGCAGGAGGGGAACAAAATGATGAACGACCGGGAGGGAGAGAAGAGGAGTGAGCGGCGTGTCCTTTTTTCCCCCTTCCTCCTCCCCACAGCAGACACATTACACACGAAGAAAGAGGAGAAGGAGGAGAAGGGGGCTGGAAAACACAAACACAAACACAAACACACAAACAGTAAAAACAAACAAACAAACAAATGGATGTGGTCAACGGATTATACGTGCGATAACTGTAATTCTTTTCTTTCCCCCCATTTAACCTTTTTTGAATTTTTATTTTATTTTTATTTTTACACCACGGATGGTTGTTTATTTATTTATTTATTTTTGTTATTTTTGTTATTGTCGTTGATGTGCGTATGTGTGAACTTCTTTTTCTCCCCTTCCCCTTTCCATTCTTTTTTATTTTTATTTTTATTTTTTTTTGTACGGAAGTTTTTCGTGAAAGTCGTCATTTTGTTTGTTTTTTAGTTCCCCCCCCGTTCTCCTTCTTTTTTTTTTTTTGTGTGTGTGTGTGTGAAGCCAATACATCTTTTTTTTTTCGTTTTTTATTCTTGAGGAGGAAAGCAACCACCACCCAAAAGAATGGAGAAGAGAAGAGAAGAGGAAAGGGAGTTGCCATGAAGTGAGCGCCTCTCCGCAGTGTGTAATGTCAAGGCAATGTTTGCTTACATTGCGGTGAGGAAGTAACGGGCGGTGATGTCAGCTTTTTGTATATATGTATATATATCTTTCTGTGTGTGTGTGTGTGTGTGTGGCCATGCGTATATGTGGGAGGGAGTTCTCCCCTCATACAGACGGACAGACGGGAAAGGGGAAAATTGATTGATTAATTAATTATATACACATCGCCTGGAGACCCATTTTATTATTATTATTATTATTATTATTATTATTATTATTATTATTATTATTATTGCAATCACTGTTATTATTATTATTATTGTTTTTAATCCTTTATTTTTGTGCAGTTTCCTTTTTTACTGCGACACCGCAAGGGTTATAAACACCCGTGGCACACCACGCAAGATATGTTGAAGGCTCATATTGAGTGGAGGAGCAGCCATGGACGTGAGGAGAATATATATATATCTATATGTATACTTAAGGCTGCACTACAGGAGCTTCTTTTCTTAATTTTTTTTTTTTTGTATTTGTTTTCTGTTCCTCTCCATCCCCGTTTTTCCCAGCGAACCCTCCCCCCTTGAAGGATATATTCCTAGAGTGAAGTCAGCAGCAAAGACGTGGGACACTCTCAATGCGATTTGATCCGCAGCAGCAGCAGAAGCATCAAGGGAACAAGGATGCACCGCTGAGCAATGGCCACTCGCAACCGTTTAAGGCCTCCAAGTTATCGCTCGATTTTACCGGAACGAATGATAGTGCACCCATGAAGGCAGCAACCGTGCAGGAGATCGTGGACCAGCAGGATGCGGATGCCGACGTGGTTCGGGCTGGTCGTTGTTGCACCGTCGTGTTTCTGCCGTTTATTGTGGTGGCGCTTCTTCTGGGCACCATCCTCGGTGTTTCTTTCACCAATGGCAGAGCACTGGATGTGGAGGGGGTGCCGCGCGCTGTTCTGTTTATTATTGAGGGGTTTAAAGGAACGACCTTCAACGAGCTGCTCGAGGGCCAGCGATTGCCACATATTCGACAGATGTTGCTGGAACAACATGGCGTATACGCGGCGTGTGCCTCTCTTGAGGACGTACGATGTGCCCGTGCTGTGCTTGTTGAGGATGATGTGACGGGTGAAGCGTTTATTTCCGCTGGCGCCGGCATTGCGACGATTCTCACAGGTGTTTCCCCACGACGACATGGAGTGCGGAACGACACATGGATCTCATATGCTGCCCTTTCATCGACATCCGTGCAGTTCCCAAGCGTTGCTCTCCGTGTGACTCTTGCGAAGAAACGGGCTGCTGCGCTTGGCGGCCCCCACCTGCTTAACGGGTTGGACGCCAGGACGGGGCAGTGTAATGTACCCGGGGTACTGGATGCAGAGTGCGTCACTCCACCCGTTTCAGTAAATTCTGTGGATGCCAATGAATTCAACAGGACGCAACCGGCTGCTACTTTAACGGATGGTGTAGATCATTTTGACATTCCGCCCATGATGACTTGCCTACACCTTAAATCTTGCAATTTATTCAAGCGTGCGCTTACCCTCTCGAGCGGCCGTGATGGTAGGGAAGAGCGGGAATTTACAAGGGGCCTTATCGATCTCTTTGGAGGCCTTTCTCACGAGGGACAGGAAGCTGGCAACAGCTACGATAACAGTCTTCTCATATTCAACTTAAACGCGCTTGCACTGCGCGCGGGGGAGGAGAATTTGCCGGACTTCACATACGATCGGGGATCACTTGAGTACGCCGCACAGGCCTTCCTTATTGACAGTCTCGTGGGACAAGTGCTCGCCTTTGTCCAGGACCGTGCACGCTCCAGGAAGGAAAACTGGCTTGTTGTTGGCACGAGCAATCACGGTGGCGTTGGGAAGTCGTTTGGAAACTTCGGTGACGAAGATGAAGTTGTGCCCTTCTTTCTCGCCACGTACACATCAAACAGACGTGGCTATAGACGCCTGCGGCCACTGACGCGGCCAGTGACGCACATGGACGCAGCCCCGACTATACTGAAGTGGCTCGGCATTGCACCATACGACGAAGACGACGAGGAGGAGGAGAAGCAAAACTATCTCGAGGGAGGAGATAACACCGACAGGAGGGAAGAAACAGGCTGGCAGCATAACGACCATGATCAAAGCAAACCTGCAGCATCAAAGACAAGAAATTCCCCTTCAAATACAGGTGATCAGAGAACACTTTTGGATGGAGTGCCGCAAGGTATCTGTGGCTCGGGCCTGAGAACGAAAGACTGTGCGGTGGTGGGGGAGGAATGAAGGCGCAGGTGGTCGGTGGTCGTGCCAACGCACCGGTGAAAATAGGCAAAGAAAGAAAGAAAGGGGGAAAACAAACAAACAAAAGAAACAGAGGGGGGTGAAGGAAGAAAATACGGGAGGCGCCTTTTCTTCTTTCATACACGAAATAAGACCGCAAAAATGGCGAAATAAAAAAAAAAGAGAGAGAGAGAGAACGAAAAAAAAAGAAAAAAGAAAAAAATAATAAATGCATTTGTCTGCGTGCGTGATTGACGAGAGTTGTGCAATGATAACTGGCATGAAACTCCCACCCCCTCCCTTGTTTTTTTATTTTTATTTTTATTTTTTCTTTCGGCTTTCTTAACAACAACACCAACAACTAAACAGCAACAAAGTGATCATCTTCGCTTCCCTCGAGCACGTCCAAGTTTGCTGTTCGAGCTGCAAGCTTTTGTCTGCTGGTTGCTGTGCATGAAACATCGCACCTGCCTGTCTGTCAGTATTACACACATCTACACACAGACACAGACACAAAAATTCATAGAGTATTACACGGGATAGATTCATACGAAGGGTGGGTGCGTCTCTGTGTGGCAAACTCCGGCAAACAGGAGGCGAAAAGGACGGCACACACTCTCATACACATAAACTCGCGGCAAGAGAATAAAAACAACAACAACAACAACAACCATTTAGAGGAGAAGTTGAAACGATGCATCGACAGGAGTCTGTTAGCAGCGGCGGTGGCAATGCCACGGGTCGTGGTTCTCTCACAACAGCGGAGGTGCTTGACCGTGCTATGAACCAATGTATGCAGCGTGGCCTCTTTGACACTGCGTCATGGCTTGGGCAACTTGCACTTAACGCTACAGACAGCGTTCTGCGTGACAGCATTTCAGCGACATCGCCAGCTGTCGCGGCGTTGCAGGATCCGCCGCTGACAGGGCGTGCGCACCGTTACCTTGTTGTTGCGCTGAGCCTTATGCAGAAGGGCGAGTATATACGTTGCCATCATGAACTCAATATTGCCCTAAAGGAATTTTCTGCAGAATCAAAACCAGAGGAAAGTGAGAAATGCGCGAGAGATAACCCACCAATGTCGCGAGGGAGTGGACGATCCACACCACTGCCTCCACCTTCTTCCTCATCCATGTTGCCACCGCCTCAGCTGCAGTTTTTGTGTCTTTATTCACTGTACATGGCTGGGGAATGCATTAAAAGTACGAGTAGCAACCCACGGAAGAGCAGTAATCCACACTTGCGTACACTGCGCGGACGGTTGCTCACTCTGCTTGAACAGCAGAGGCGTTCATTATCGTCATCACCAGCATCAATCAAGTCATCCATGAAGCCCGCACCTCTGTCTTCCGCATCAATGGCGGTTGGTGCCCCGGCGTATGGTGATCCCTTCTTATGTTGGCTGCATGGAGTCGTGCTGCGTGAGCTCGGTATGAAGCAAGAGAGTGCCACTTACTTTTTGGCAGCCCTCTGCAACCACCCGATGCTCTGGTGTGCCTGGGAGGATCTTTGCACCCTCGTCAGTCGCGAAAATCAGATTGAAGAGATTGAAGCAATTATTGCTTCACTGGAACCGCGGTTTATGTCGGAGATATTTTTAGCATCCGTGAAGGCCGCACTGAATGTTGCCCCCATGTCGCTTGTTCCACCTTCCTTGTCAACAGCCGCCGCCGCTGCCATGGCCCAGCGAAGCACAAGCCCTCATTGCGGTAGTTTACCCCGTCAGCCGACGTAAACACTGGAGACTCAAGAACAACATTATCGTCCGCAGCACCATCAACGACGTGGTGAGAGTGGCGTTTCTCCACGATTGGTGAACTCCTGGGAGGCCCTGCTAGAGCGGTTCCCTAACAATCTTTTTCTACTTGCCAATCTTGCTGGCTACTACTACAACGTCAAGAAAGACCTTGAAAAGGCACAGAGTCTGTACAAACGATTACATGAGATGAATCCATATCGTCTTGAATCCATGGACGACTACTCTATTGTACTATTTCTCCGTGGCGATCGCATTGGTTTAAGTAGTCTTGCGCAGCAGGTTTATCAAATTGATCCTTTTCGCGCCGAGAGTAACTATGTTGTTGGCAACTATTATGTCCTGATGGGCGCACACGATCGGGGTGTTTTGCATTTCCGTCGGGCCGTGGCAGCGGATCCTACATTTCTTGCCGCATGGACACTACTCGGCCATGCGTACCTTGAGACGAAAAACAGTGCGGCTGCAGTGGAGGCTTATCGCGCCGCTGTTGATTTGGATCCGCGTGACTATCGTGGTTGGTACAACCTTGGCCAGATCTACGAGCTGCTGCAGTTTTACCACCACGCACTCTATTACTATTGGCATACCACAACGCTACGGCCCACGGATCCTCGCATGTGGTCCGCAGTGGCAAACTGTCTGGATCGCGAGGGACGAACTGGAGAGGCGGTGTTGTGTCTTGAGCGTGCTGAGGCGTATGAAAGTTCTTCTTCGGATTATTACCCGCCTCTTGTACATCGCCTTGGGTTGCATTATTTGGGTATACGACGACTGGATCGTGCTGTTATCTACCTCGAGAAACTCGTTTTCTCAGAGGCAAGAAGAAGGGAGGATGTGCTGTTTGCTATTCCGCATGTGGTGCCGTACTACCTGCAACAGGCAAGACAACTGCTGGACATCCCTTCTCGATCACCCAGCTACGAGCCACAACCGCACCATTCAACAACCGCAGGAGGAGGGGATGGGCAGCTACCGCAGACAATGGCATCGGCGATTGGTGCAACCAATGCCAGCACTGGTGGCAACGTCTACAGAAGCAGCTTGGCCGATCAGTGGCTCACGGCGGACGCTGCGGCACGACGAAACATTGAGACACGCTGGGAGCAGGCAACCTTGTGCTTAACAAGTTCTGAGAGGCATCTGGAGAATTTCGCGTCCGTGCTGGGCATTCCAGTGGCCTCGGCGGCGGATAACGGGGCTCGCAAGTCCACCGAGTACGGTGATACCGGCGTCAGTGGGGGTGGTGGTGTTGCTGGGGTTGCGATGGATGAGGGAAGGAGCCAACACACATTACAGCTTGCCTGCCTATACCGTGAGCTAAATAAGATTCGTCAGTACTTGACAAGTCAGCAGGAACAGGTGGAGACAGCCATGAGAATGAGGGGGGAGGAAACGCATAGAAAGTGACCTGATTGTTTCTCCGTGTTTGTTTGTGTCAGAGAGACACGATGGAACTCACATACATGCAATAAGAAGGCACGAAAAAAAAAAAAAGGACATACACACGCACAGACACACAGACAGCCAGCTCATGAGAAAAACGATTGGAGTGGAGGAGAAGAAGAGGGAAAACCAAAAGTAGAAGAGAGGAGGGGAAGGGTGATCCTTGACCAGCCAACAAATTTTGTTTTCTTTTCCTGGTTTGTTTCCCTTTTTTTTTTTGTGTTGTTGTTGTTGTTGGGAAATTGTAATGTTGAGAGGCATATTATTATTATTATTATGTCTTTGTTCGATTGCCTGTTCTCTTTCTTGTTGTTGCGGCTGCTGCGCTGGGACTTTGTGCCGTTTCTTTTTTTCTTTTCCTTTATTTTCATTTTCTGCGTTGTGTAATGCGGAGTGTGACGGGGTGCTGGAGACAAAAGAAGACCGCCGTGAACGTCACCAGCCTCTGCGACCGCGCGCCTGCGTCGATTTCATTCCTCCCCACTTCTCCCGCACAGCGGCAGGCTGAGAGCGGCACGAAGTGCAGGGGGCGCAGCCCTCGTCGGTGTTTGTTTGTTCTCTTCCTTTTCTCTTTGGGGCGGGTGGGAGGGGTCCTGCGCGCAGGCTAAATGGCAACACCGCCGGTGGCAGAAGCCGCAGCGACGACGGCATCTTTGACCGCGTGTGCGTCATGTCACCGCCTTTGCGAGGTTCTCGACGAGGTTGCGCGGAAGGACAGTGCGCTGCAGCAGTTCCGCGCCCTGTTTGAAAAGATGAGCAGAGACTACGAGGTGGAGCAGCGTAATGCAGCGCAGGCAAAGTTGGAGCTCGCGGCACTCACGACACGTCACGAAACGCAACAGCAGGAACTAATCGCCGTCAAGGCCAAGAGTGCCATGCAGGAGTCGAGGATCAAAGAAGAAGACGATGCATGGGAGCGCCGCACGCGGCAGCTGCGTCAAGAGCTGGCCGCGGCAGTTGACGAACGCGACGCTCTTGCCGGTGAGCGGGAGGTGCAGTGGCAACAGATACGAGCTCTACGCTCACGGCTGGAGGGGCAGCAGCGGCAGCTCACGGTAATGGAGGATGCGTGGAAGTGCCGTTTGGAGGAAACACGAAGGGAAGCGGAGGAGAAGGTTCGGACCGGGATGCGGGAAAGGGAAGAACTGCTGCGATTACGTGAAGTGGAACTGCAACGAAGCACCTCGCAGCTTGAGGGTCGTCTTGCCGACATGGCTGCCGAAGTAAGGCGTCAGCATGATGCAAGTGAGGCTCTTATGCTGCGGATAGAAGACTTGCAGCGTTCTCTGAGACGACAGGAAGCGATGACGCAGCGAGCTCAGGATGCGCTCAGTGTGGAGCAGAAGGAAAAGGCACAGCTTGGGGAGTACATGGCCCTGGAGCGGCAGACATACCGCCAGCGACAGGAGCAAACCGAGACGAGTTACAAGGCGCAGCTGCAAGAAATAGAACGAGTTTGTGACCAGCATGTACGTGAGCGAGAAAGACTAGAAAGTGAGATTGCCCTCTGCCAGCGGGAATCGCAAAAGGAGGCCAAGCGTACACGTGAAGTGTGGATGCAGGAGAAACAGCAGCTTGAGGCAACTATTGAGTCTCTGCGTGGGGAGCTGATACGCGAGCATATGCGCTTCGACAAAGCACATGAGTCACACCAGCGAGTGGAGGCACTCCTTGTACGTGCCCGACGGGAGTTGGAGGCATCGCAGCACCAGGAGGTGGTACTTCAGGAGACGATCGCATCACTGCAGAAGGCGGCGGCCAAGCGGGATGCAACGCATTTGCGATTGGAGGGGGAGATCACACGACTGAGTGCTTCCGTCGCGGAGAGGGAGCGTGAGGCGGAGCGGTGGAGGTCTGCGATGGATCGAATGGAGTGGCAAAGTCGGCTGGAGACGGCACGCGACGCGAGGGAACGTGAACGCATGCATCCGGAGGCATTACCGCCCCCGCCATTGCTGCCGTTGTCTACATCCTCAGCCCCACGACGCGACACGACACGTCGCTCCGCGTGGGTTACACCGAACAAACGGTGGGAGCAGGCGGAAAGCATAGAGCACACGCCTTTGACGGGCAGCCCTTCTATGAAAGGCGCCGAAAACCCGCCCCGTGGGGGCGAGGACAGGGATGCCGATATGCTCCGTTCCATCGTGCAGGAAGTGTTGCAGGAGTGCATGACACGCACGGAACCATCTTCTTCTTTAACGCATGCTTCCGATTCAGCTGCTCTTCATCCTGCCGCTGTGGCAACTGGTGATCGCCATTTGCGAACACCGCGGCGCCGTAAAACTTCTTCTCGTGCCCGGCGACATGCGAAAAACGGTGACTCCCATCTTGGCGAGGACTCGCTTCGAAACGGTATGCCTTGTGCATCGCCCATAACTCGTTCCACACCGCCTCGGGACGTCCCCACGACCAAAATACGTGCCTCAATGGCTTTGGCACCGACGAGGATATCTGCTCCCGCGCCTTCTATGGCAACCTCGACAAATTCTTCAATTTTGCAAGCCGCAGCTCCACTCTTTACATCTACTTCAAACAACTCGTACCTTGATTCCTCGACCGTCTCGCAGCCACAGCGGAATTTACCCTTGAGAGATTGCGATCACGGAGACGTCGCTTCACACTTTTCGGTTGGTTCCCCTCTGGCGGTGCCCGTTGAGCGGCGTAGCGCCGACGCTGACAAAGCCGCAGCAACAGCGGCTCTGATACAAAAGTACACTCTTGAGCGGGAGGAAAATGAGCAGCGGATGCGTCAAACCCTGCGAGATCTTGAACAACGCCAGCAGCAGCTTCTTTATTCTGTCGAAAGCGGCGCGGACGCCACGAACAATACTGACGCCCCACCGACGCGAAAGGAGGGAAGGAACGGCGACGGTGTAAAGGTGCACGACATTAGCCACGCTTCATCCGCTGCGGCCTCTTCATCTTCTTTGGCCACCGGTCACATCTCATCGCACTCGTCATCGGCGCGGGCGTCCACCGCGGCACCCGCACCGCCGTCTCGACTGCTGCTGCTGCAAGAGAGGTTTGCGACAATGCCTATTATTCAATGACGTCCAAACAACAAAATGAGCTTGCTCAATTGATAATCTTGTCGATTCACACACCTTTCCCCCCTTTTTTTTCTTTTTATCATAGAGCCAGGTCAATTATGCTGCAGTTGACGCTTCAAGTCAATTTTTTGAAGAGAAGCGGATTAAAAGTGAAAGGTGCTCATGCAGTGAATTTACATACCGTGACCATTGTTTTCTGCCCGGTGAACTCTCCTGTACAAAAGCCCTCCATTTATTCTCTTCTGCCTCCATTTATCAATGATACAGTTTGCTGCCTTGCTCCGTGGAGCCGAAAGCTCCTAAATAACAACAACAAAACATCATTTTTCTTTCTCTGCCCATTACCGGGCTTCTGAACACAGCTAAAGCACTAGTTTGTTTTTAAATTTCTACCTCCTACACATACCGCGTTTGTTTTATGCTACGCAAAACCCTTTTTGGATTCAGGGCCATTCGCATCAACCCCCGTGTGGTGGCGGCAGAGTATGCGGTGCGTGGGATGCTCCCCATGCGTGCGGACGAGATCAGGGCGGCCCTGGCGACACCGGAGGGGAAGGCCAAGTACCCCTTCTCCAGCATTGTGTACTGCAACATTGGGAACCCGCAGGCACTGGAACAGAAGCCGCTGACGTTCTTCCGGCAGGTGATGTCGCTGATTGACGCGCCGTTCCTGCTGGAGAACGAGAAGGTTACGTCGCAGTTCCCGGCGGATGCGGTGGCGCGTGCGAGGGAGTATCTTCGCCACATCGGCGATCGCACGGGCGCCTACACGGACTCTGCGGGCTACGCCTTTGCCCGTGACATCGTGGCGCGGCAAATCAATGAACGCGACCACGAGATAAAGCCGCTGGTGGACGCATCCTCTATTTTTCTGACGGACGGCGCGAGCTCGGGCGTGCGTCTTTTGCTGCAGGTTCTCGTGGGTGACGCGAGTGATGCGGTGATGGTTCCCATTCCGCAGTACCCGCTGTACACGGCGCAGCTTACTCTTCTTGGCGGCACGCCCGCGATGTACTACCTGTGTGAGAAGGATAACTGGGCACTGAACGTGGAGGAGCTGGCGTCGGTGTACGACGAGTGCGTGGCGAAGAATAATGCGACCCCGCGCGTGCTCGTTGTGATCAACCCCGGGAACCCGACTGGCGGCGTGCTGGATCGCGAAGTGATGGAGGCCGTGGCGAAATTCTGCTGCGACCGCGGCATTGTGCTGATGGCGGACGAGGTGTACCAGGAGAACGTGTACGCGGCGGGAAAGCGTTTCTTGAGCTTCCGGGAAGTGGTGCTTGGGCTGCCGGCGCCGTACAACACGGACACGGTGCTGGCCTCGCTGCACTCGACGTCGAAGGGCATCATTGGTGAGTGCGGGCGCCGCGGCGGGTACTTCTGCCTCACAAACTTCCCCGCGCCGGTGCGGGAGCAGGTGGTAAAGATGTGCTCCATGGTTCCGTGCAGCAGCGTGAATGGGCAGTTGATGACGGCACTGATGTGCTCGCCACCGCGGCCCGGTGACGCGAGCTATGAGTCATACTGGGCGGAGTACAATGGGATCTTTGCGAGTCTAAAGAAGCGCGCCCTGCTGCTTGCGAAGGAGCTGGGCACGATTCGCGGTTTTTCTTGCCAGCCGGTGGAAGGGGCGATGTACGCGTTTCCGACGATTGAGCTGCCGGAGAAGTACTTTCAGCACAATGCGGAGCTGAACGCGAAGGAGGGGCGAAAGCTTGGGCCCGACACGCGATGGGCGTTGGAGCTTCTGGAGAGCAGCGGGGTTGTTGTTGTGCCCGGCTCTGGGTTTGGTCAGCGGCCCAACACGCTGCACTTCCGCACGACGATCCTGCCGCCGGAGCAGCAGATGGAACGGATGGTGAAGGCGATGCGCACATTCCAGGAGGGCATTTGGGCAAAGTACGGGTAACGTGGAGAGTGCCTGTGTAATTAAGTACATACATACATACATACATATATATATATTTGTGCATGCATGTATATATGGGGAAGGGAAGAAGGAAGGGGAGAGGGGGTTTGTCTTTGTTTTGTCTGTATTTCCTGATGCAGCACGCATGCTGCCTGCCCGCACTGCAGAGATCCGGCATTGAAGCGAATGACAGTGATGACTGTGTGTGTGTGTGTGGGGATGTGAGGACGGGGGCTTTGGCTGAGAATAATTTTGTTGATTTTGGTTCCGTGTGTGATAAATAAAGCGGTGGAGTGAATTTTTTTGCTGCTGGTCGCTTTACGAGGGAGGCGAGAAAACAGGGGTGTTCACGCGCACATAAATTTAACACTAGCAAAAAACGAGTGGTGGTGTGAAAAAAAGGTTGTAAACAAAACGACAGGTGAAAAGACGGAGATTCAGTGCGGGGATGAGGGGATGGGTTTGGAGGGCCAAAGAAACTAAAAAAAAACAAACGAAAAAATAATTCGGTGCGTACGTGCGCATATTTAAGTGTGCTTTAAGCGTAAACGTGAATAATTTGGGAAAAAAAAACGAGCTGTGCGTGATGTTGTGTGTGGGAGTTGCCTGGCGGCCCGTGATCACGGGCGTGTAATTTGGTGGTCCTTGCATGTGACTTTTGTATTCACTGATGGACGCGGAAACACACACACACACACACACGCATACACACAAACCGCCCCCTTGGGCTGCTCGACACATGTCTTTCCACTTTTATTGTTGCCATTGCGGCGTGGGCGTAACCACGTGCGGAGGCAAATCGAGTTCCCAAGTGTAGCAAAGGTTTATGCGTGTATGTGAGGGGCGGCGATTAAAAATCATTATCAGCGACAGCAATCGCGATAGCAAAAACAACAGTAATGTAGACCACCTACCCAGAGCGTTGCAGACATGCTTCCACACATTTGTATTTTCCTCATGTGTGCGTCTAGTCACCTTGGTGCAATGGATGTGGGCGTCTTGTCGCTTACGATGTGCTCTCTTCTTCTGAATACGGGTCGACTTGTGTATGGGAAGCGCACCTGAGTGATGGCCACGCCCTGAATTCCCCAATATTATGCTGCGGAGGTGGCGTCATGGTTCCTCTTTGGATTTGGTTTGAAGCTTTCTTCTTATGTGTTTTTGATGGGAAGGCATACCTGTGCACCTGCTGTTGCCAGGGGCTTTTGTGGCTGTTGCGCCCTCTATGGTACGAGTGCGAGCCGCTCAGCGGAGGGGATTTTTTGTGCATCACCTGACTGTGCGTATGCATGTGTGCACGTTGGCGCGCTGGCGGGTAAGGCCGTGGGGTGGCGCAGCGGTGTTTTATTTACTCCATCGGGGAGGACATCGACCTTCTTTGGCTGTCCGCGCCTGTTCGACGCGGTCTGAGTGGCCGGCATGGATGAGGGCTCGTCGGCGATCACGGGGAGGTTTGCCGCCCGTCCGATTTTTTTTTTTTGGGTTGTGGGAGATCTCCGTATCATTTTTGTTCATTGCCGCTTTCCTGGGCAGCTTTTTTTTTTTTTTTTTTGGATGCTGGCGGACGTTGCGGCCTCACTGGTTGTGTTGTGTGGTGGCGTGACGGGTGCCTTGCCGCCCTGCTCCCCATTCATTTGGAGGAGGCGCGAAGTGCCTGTTGTTATTTTTATTTCTTCTTTTTTCAGCCACGCCGCCGTCGTTGCTTGTGTCTCTTTTTGCATTGCTGGGCGTGCCACAATCATCGCCGATTTACGCGGCGGTCAACGGGGTGGTGACGATGATGGGACGATACCGGCAGCACCCACACGGGGCTTTGATCATCTCTTAAGACAAACACACACACAAAGAAAAATATATGAATGTCTTTGAAGGCCGCTTTTTTTGTGTTTGTTTCAATGCTGCCTTCTCCCTCTGCGCACTTGTCTGTGGCTTGTGGCTTGTGTCTTGCCGCAGTCTCCCCCACTCCCTCTTTTTCTTCTTCCCGTCCTCTTTTGTTTTCATTACTGTTCTCAACGATGGTGCGGGTCCCCACATTCACCACCACACCGAAACGGAAATAAAAAGACGCTCAGACAACACCTAACAAGGCAAAACATTTGCTTGATACATCTATCCATTGGAGTGAGAAGGAGAGGGAATTGGAGAAGAGAGAAACGGCAGGCACAAATTGAGGCGAGCAGGCATTTGTGTTTTATCATGTCTGGGTCACGAAAGGAAATTCGCATCAACCCCCGTGTGGTGGCGGCAGAGTATGCGGTGCGTGGGATGCTCCCCATGCGTGCGGACGAGATCAGGGCGGCCCTGGCGACACCGGAGGGGAAGGCCAAGTACCCCTTCTCCAGCATTGTGTACTGCAACATTGGGAACCCGCAGGCACTGGAACAGAAGCCGCTGACGTTCTTCCGGCAGGTGATGTCGCTGATTGACGCGCCGTTCCTGCTGGAGAACGAGAAGGTTACGTCGCAGTTCCCGGCGGATGCGGTGGCGCGTGCGAGGGAGTATCTTCGCCACATCGGCGATCGCACGGGCGCCTACACGGACTCTGCGGGCTACGCCTTTGTCCGTGACATCGTGGCGCGGCAAATCAATGAACGCGACCACGAGATAAAGCCGCTGGTGGACGCATCCTCTATTTTTCTGACGGACGGCGCGAGCTCGGGCGTGCGTCTTTTGCTGCAGGTTCTCGTGGGTGACGCGAGTGATGCGGTGATGGTTCCCATTCCGCAGTACCCGCTGTACACGGCGCAGCTTACGCTTCTTGGCGGCACGCCCGCGATGTACTACCTGTGTGAGAAGGATAACTGGGCACTGAATGTGGAGGAGCTGGCGTCGGTGTACGACGAGTGCGTGGCGAAGAATAATGCGACCCCGCGCGTGCTCGTTGTGATCAACCCTGGGAACCCGACTGGCGGCGTGCTGGATCGCGACGTGATGGAGGCTGTGGCGAAATTCTGCTGCGACCGCGGCATTGTGCTGATGGCGGACGAGGTGTACCAGGAGAACGTGTACGCGGCGGGAAAGCGTTTCTTGAGCTTCCGGGAAGTGGTGCTTGGGCTGCCGGCGCCGTACAACACGGACACGGTGCTGGCCTCGCTGCACTCGACGTCGAAGGGCATCATTGGTGAGTGCGGGCGCCGCGGCGGGTACTTCTGCCTCACAAACTTCCCCGCGCCGGTGCGGGAGCAGGTGGTAAAGATGTGCTCCATGGTTCCGTGCAGCAGCGTGAATGGGCAGTTGATGACGGCACTGATGTGCTCGCCACCGCGGCCCGGTGACGCGAGCTATGAGTCATACTGGGCGGAGTACAATGGGATCTTTGCGAGTCTAAAGAAGCGCGCCCTGCTGCTTGCGAAGGAGCTGGGCACGATTCGCGGTTTTTCTTGCCAGCCGGTGGAAGGGGCGATGTACGCGTTTCCGACGATTGAGCTGCCGGAGAAGTACTTTCAGCACAATGCGGAGCTGAACGCGAAGGAGGGGCGAAAGCTTGGGCCCGACACGCGATGGGCGTTGGAGCTTCTGGAGAGCAGCGGGGTTGTTGTTGTGCCCGGCTCTGGGTTTGGTCAGCGGCCCAACACGCTGCACTTCCGCACGACGATCCTGCCGCCGGAGCAGCAGATGGAACGGATGGTGAAGGCGATGCGCACATTCCAGGAGGGCATTTGGGCAAAGTACGGGTAACGTGGAGAGTGCCTGTGTAATTAAGTACATACATACATACATACATACATATATATATATTTGTGCATGCATGTATATATGGGGAAGGGAAGAAGGAAGGGGAGAGGGGGTTTGTCTTTGTTTTGTCTGTATTTCCTGATGCAGCACGCATGCTGCCTGCCCGCACTGCAGAGATCCGGCATTGAAGCGAATGACAGTGATGACTGTGTGTGTGTGTGGAGATGTGGAGTGTGTAATTGAGCGAATGATGATTTAGGCAAGTTTTTGTTTTTTGAGAGCGTATTGAACTGTTTTTTTTTTTTTTTTAGGTGCTTTAGTTGTCTTTTTTTTTTTCTTTGCGTTTTTTTTTTTTTTTTTTGAAAAGAGCGTATTAGGGAGGTGTGAACGCAGTATTATTATTGTTCTCATTACACATTTTTATGCGTTTTGTTGAGAATCTGTATATATATATATATGCATTTAGGTGAATTAAAAATGCATGAGAAATTTTATCATACGGGAGCTGTAGAGAGTGGTTCTTCGAGTATGTATGAGCGAGCTTTTTTGCATTTGTATATGTGTGTGTGTGCGTGGGATGACGGAATTCCTTTTTTTTTTTTTTTCTTTTTTCTTTTCCTTTTTTTTGTTTCTGTCTCTTTTTTGTTTTTGCCTTATTTTAGCGGGAAGGAGCATTGCGAGTGCGTGCGTGCGTGAGTGAGTTTTCACATCATCTCTTGGGATCACCACGTGGAGTTGCGTAGGTGTCGGTCGGGCAATCCCGTTGCGGTAGAGTCAACATTACACATAGAGTACTTTCCACCCCTCCTCCACTTTCACTTTTCTCCCTCCTCCTCCTCCTCCTCCACCCCCCCGCGACACACTCCGAGATACAAATAAATATACGTACACATTTACACACAAACACATATATATATATTTATATTTTCCGCACACAACACACATCACGTATTTTGTTTGTTGTTGTTGTTGTGGATAGTACAGGCGGTAGAAGAGGTAGGACTTTAGAGGGAAAAGCCATCCCGGTATACACATACACATACAAGCGTATCATCATTGAATAGGCGTTATTAGACTCGTCTACTCACTTTTTTTTTTTTTTTCTAATTTGTTTTGATTTGTTTTGTTGAGTTTGTTGCTCGTTCCCTTTTTTTCGTCGTTGTCTCATTATTTATTTATTTATTTATTTATTTATTGTTGTTGTTGTGGTTTCTCGATCCGTGAGCGTGTGGAATTATTCTGTCCTGTACGAATACCAGGCATACAACCGCATATACGCCCACAGTTTGGCAGCATCTCTCACAAATACATATATACAGCGAGACAGAGAGAGGCGGAGAGGGACGGGTATATTTAGGTGAGGCCAAGACAACATTGACGGGTGCATTGTTTTTTTCTCTTTAGATGTTGCAGCTTTCACGCCTATTGCAATGCGTTAGAATTGCCTCGTCGTCGTCGTCTTCTTCTTCTTTGTTTGCCTCTTTACGTGCCTTTAGTAACGGACGTCGTGTGGGGAAAAAGGCATTGGCCTCCGCGACATCCGGGGAGGCTCGAGAGGTCGGAGGGGACGAGGACACGGACGACAGCGCGGACATGCGTCACGACACGATGAGCGAATTGGGTAGGACGCGGCCAAATATTGACTTTGCCAGCTTTGAGGCCGATGTCAATGACGGTGGGATGATGCCGCTGCCGTTGCGAGGCGGGTTGCAGTTGCCGCCCTCGCAGCACCAAAAACGCCAGCCGCGGCGCCTCGGCTTGTCACCGCCATCGTCGCTGTCGTCGCTCTCGGCGCTCCCAGAGGAGGTCTTGCAGGCCACCAACGCGAGTGACCCCATTGACGCGGCAAGGAGGGAAAGGCGTGTGAGGGGCGCACGGGAAGAAGAGGAAGAAGAAGAAGAAGGAGAAGGAGAGGGAGACGATGATGAGGAGGCGGGCATGGAGAATGAACACGATCCCGTCGACGCTCCCGCCGCCTTTCCAAACGGCTACACGAACCACCACCACAACCACAACAAACACAACAACGAGTACGATGTCGACATTGGGAAGGACACACTGAGCACCACCATTAATTCTCATAATAGTAATAATAACAATAACAATAACAATTACCACACCAACATTGCGGGGCTAACAAATCCGTTTCTTGGACTTCATGAGCATATCACGCGCAGTTACCGCCTCGATCAGTTGTTGGCCGTTGCACGGCCGGAGGACATATTAATGGGGAGGCAGGAAGCGAAGTCCGGGGCATTTTCATTTATCCGCTTTGAATCCGGCCCGCAGTTCTTAGCAAGCAACGCGAAGAGTTCCACAACACCGCGGAGTGAAGAGACTCCACATAACGACTGCGCTCTCGTTGTGGCAGAGCGACTTATGGCCTTTCCTCCACACATGCGGCATTTCCACAGTATTTGTGGCCGTGAGAATGTCCCCTGCGACTTTTTTGCCGATGTTGACTTGCCGAATGAGACACCCGCATCGGGGGAGAAATTACTACTGGAGATGCTGAACTATTTGGAGGTGCGGCTGGAGGGCATTGGGTTTCATCAGCCGTCCTTTCTGGTCCTGGCGAACGAGGTTCCGAGTCCCGACAAGGTGTCGTATCATGTACACGCCCGTTCCATGGGTGCAATGGACGAGAAGACGACAGCAGACGATGAGGAGGGAGATGATGACGCGAACGAGCACGAGAATGAGGATGAGGAGGCGGATTTGGCGGGGACGAAGGGATCACCCAGGGGGAAGAAGAGAAATAATAATAATAATAATAATAAAAAGGCGGCAAAGGCCAAGAAGGGACAGAAGCAAAAGAAAATTATTGCCTTTCAGGATTACCGTGTTGTGAGGCTCCTTGCGGATGAAGTGAACACGACGTTAGGACGCACCGTCGTGGACGAGCAATGCTACCGCGCGAACGGCATG